GTGTAGCCGGAAACACACGCCATGGTACATCCTCGTTGATAAGGCTGCGGTGTCGTTACGCAATCCACGGGTTCAATGGTACCAAAAGCTAACTGACGAAGAGCTGGGCACTTACGAGCTTCACATTTGATGAAAAAAAAAAAAAATTAAACATGTGTTTAATGTAATTTTGTAGCCAATCCTAACATCCCAACCGTGCTATTAAAAAAATCTCTGAGACCTATTGATCGACTTCCATCCAAATCTCAGCGAATAAGACGAAGATAGAAATCAATCTTGGGGTGTTAAGAAAGCCTCAGGGTATGTGGCATCCAGGAGCTAATATTTACGTGGCGCTAACGACGTCGTAATACTTTTTAACGCACGCGTCCGTTACTTTCTGTTACTTTCACAGGGTTTGACTTGATTTACTATGTGAATGCACATATGCAGCCTTTATACTTCTCAGTCACCCTTCCTAACATATCTCTGCCTGGTTTGCTCCTATTTCCACTTCCTCGGGTGGAGATTAATTTGACAAACCTTCACAAGACGTCGCGCTTCCAGACCATTGGGAGTCAGCCTGACAGGTTCTAGTTGCGCTTCCTTTGCGTTCATGCCCCTCATCGCAACTGAAAGTACAAGTATCTCCGTATTCATATCCTTTGCCAGAGCATGTTTTGGTACCGTGGTTTAGTGTTGGCAAAACTGCGCAAGTGATAACTGGAAAGAAATAGAAAGGAAAAATAAAACAAGTCAGTAACGTTGCTTGCTTATTTTAGTGAATGAATCACGTGAGTTTATAAGAGTCAAGAGTCCACTGACCTTCACACTGCACTGCTGTTCCACTCCATTCTTTATTACTCTGACATCTTCGTAAGCTCGACCCAACAAGATTGTACCCAGAATCGCACTGGAATTCACACACACTGTTATAAACTACGTCGCATGCTGCAAGGAAACCGCCATTCGGAGGTGCTAGAAGCTGCTCGCACTTAACGGCTAAAATAGACAGAAATAGAAGTATTAGGAGCTCTAATACTTTGCGGAAATTATACTCCTTGAACTCCTTCATAATAAACTATTTCTCCGGTGAGTAGGCAACAGAGAGCTTTAAAAGGTCTGCTTTTCTTGCAGAGACTGATAAAAAGAAATATTGCGTCCGTTAGTTATGGAAAATAGAGCTCCATCTATTATGGAAAATGATACTGAAAGGGGTGAACATTCAATAAGACCCTGTCCCCCCCTACGGATGGATTTCCTACCATTTCTCAGTATTCTTCGCTGCCCCCTTCCCCTCCCCTTTAGCCACTGTCAGAACCAAGTTGTCTCACACGAGTTACAAAGAAGCACACAAGCCGATAAATTATGGTGTTAAGATGCGTAGAACTTATTCAGTGAAGCTCAAAACAGAATAGTAACAACAGGATACTCGCAGTTGAATGAGCTTTGGGTTCGAAAAGTCTCCAGTTTTCCTTTCGTCCACGTTTGTTTCCTTTTAAATAATTCTAAGCAGGTTTTACTTTGCTTTCGCTTGCTTTGCAAGACAGCAGTTTTCCTTTGAAATTCAGCGCGGAAAATTGGAGCACGGGGTACAGAACTGATCCCCTCGCGCGTGCCCGACGTTTGACCGCTGTGTTCTATTGGGCACACTTTTGTGTAGTGATCAGATCGCAAATCTGTGCTTTTTTTTTAAGGCTAAGACGTGTTCGTTCCTTTTTCAATGAATTATCGTTACCTGTACAAGCGATGTCTCTCGAGGGGTCGCCTTCGTACCCATCGTGACATTTGCATTGACTTTTCAGTATGCTTCCCTCTGCATCTGTCGTAGAATGTTCTGGACACGCAACACACTCACTCGGAGTAGCCCACTGTTTGTAAGTTCCACGTAGACAAACTGAAAAGAAGAGCACTCATTTTCAGAAAAAAAAAATGCTTTTATTAATTCATGCTTGTTTGCTTTGGAACAAGTAACATTTCATGTTGAAATAATATTTTGAAGAAGATGCCTATCATACCAGTTTGTTAGAAGAAGGAAAACAATCTCACAATTTTAACAATCAATACTAGATGGAGTGAATTTTGGATTTCTTTTTCTTCGCGTTTGGTTATGTACCAATCAATTACTAGACAAATTTGAACACTGCCTTTTGTGTGATGCTTATCATGATTACTGTAGAACTGAATAAGTTAAT